GCCCGGGTGTTCCTGGCCTGTGGCACTTTTTCAGATGTCAGGCAGGGCAGACGGGCAGATCCGCGCCTCCCAAGTCTTAAGCTCTGTGTGCTGAGTGTTCCTGTTGCGCTTTTTACCAAAACACACATGCATGCGGCCTGGTCGGGCAATGGGACAGCAAGGAGCTTGTGTCCGAGACAGCTTCCCACCCTCCAGCAGGCCAGAGCCTTAGGGGAGAACTCTGCACATGCTGTCAGTGCCCCGGAGTCTGTGGTCCTGATGCTCTGGTGTCACTAGTGCGGTTTTGAAGGATGTGAACTGTGGTGAGCATCCAGCCCCCAATCTGGGCGGCCAGAGGTAGCTTTTTGTCCTTTTTGGCGAGTGGGCTGAACTGGCAGAGCCTGGCAGCTGGTCCAGGGAGCGCTGAGGGAGAGGCAGCCATGTCCCACAGCTCCTGCTGCTGCTGCCGCCCTCCGCAACCTGGGAGAGGCTGTGGGCATAAGACCGGAGGTAGGAATTGGTGCTGAGCAGATGCTTTGCTGGTAGAGCCTAAGATGGTCTGCAGGGCCCCCTTTGGAAGCAAGGTGTAGGAAGCTCAAGCCACACTTCTGGAATGAGAGGGAAGGGCACTGGGAATGAGGACATGTACTGTCCTGCACAGCCCCTAGAAACCACTTCTTACTTGTGCTCCCCACTATTAGAGTATCATTTCAAAGAGGAGGGAGCTTGGGGCTGGTTTTGCATTTGGGAGTCTTGCAGTTACCTTTGACAGCTCCTTTCTGTCACCTCTTAATGCCCAGCCTGACATCTCTAGTGAGGAAGACTGACCCGAGCTGTGAGGGCTGAAGGTTTGGAAGCACTGCCTGTCTCATGCCCCCAGTTCTTACTTTGCGTTCCTGCCGCAGGGACAACAGTTAGTTAGGCCTCCCCACGTACTTCAGAGCCAGCGCTGTACCGAGCACCCTGCAGCACTCTCCTACCACTATCTGGGAGCTGCAGTGGCGCCAATAAATTAATGAGTGTCTGGGATTAATTAGCAATGAGTTGCCTCGACTCGCCTCAGTCTCACTCCCAGTAAAGCAGGATTTACACCTCTCCCTCTTTCCGCCCACAGAGGGAGGCAAGGAAGCCGCTCGGGTTTCCCAAGGGTCACAGAAGCAGAGGAGCTGCACTCGTGGGATGTCACGATCTGACCTCGAACAGCTAGCCCAAGGAGAAGAGGACATTGTGGAGGACTTGGCTTTCTCTGATGATGACTGAGCCTCCTCCCAGCCACCCCCTCCAAGCTTATCCCTTACAGAGCTGCTGCGTACTGGATGACCCAGCCTTCAGCACCTGTAGCTGGCTCTCAAAGAGGTGGTAAGAGCTGGGGAGCGTGGAGGGTGGGAGGCCAGCCCCACATGCCACCAAGGACTTTCTCAGTGACGCAGCAGAAACGCTACTTGGACTTTCAAGCTTTTTCTACCAGTTATGTTTTTGGTAACTGTAAAATTGTGGTCGCGTCAAGGCCAGTAAAGCTGCGCAGCACAGGTAATAAAAAGCCTTCGTTAAAATCTGCTGCTTTAAATAGCATGGGGTTCAGTTTCAGCTCCTGCTGGAGCATAAGTGAGCTGACCAAGGGAAGGACAAGTTCTTTTGTCTACGGGTCCTCCTGATCGTTCAGCCAACCACCCGTGTCGACCCATATTTTGCTCTGGGGCCCTCACCAAACCCTCCCATTTGCCAAGAAGTTCTTAAGGATTGCATAGAGTGTTTCACAGCTTTGTATCTTCACTGCAAATGGAAGCCTTTATCAGTAACATCAGACACAGCTCAGTTCAATCAAGCTGGCTGTAAGTACGCTAAAGAAGTTTAAGTGCGTGCCTTAGGATATAGGGAGGGGGCGGAGACGGGAGGTTGCGCAGGCAGGAAGGCGTAAGAAGAGGCAAAACTAATGTAGGAAACATACTTTCATTTTGTGAGGGCTGTTGGATTTGCGTGGGATACATTTGCTTAGCAAAAACAAGGGACAAGTCTGCGCCCGTGCTTTGTAACCGACCTATTGTTACCCATAGTGACATAAAATCACCGCTTTCTGGGGCCTGTCCTAGCTGCTGGTGGTGGTGGTGAACACCGTTTTGTTCTGTGAGTCCTGAAAACAGCAGTGATGATTGCAGGCTGTCTTGGGCACTCAGCCTTTCTTTATTACCTCAAAACCAACCACTGCATCACCTGGGCAGCTTCTAGATGCAGCTCATTATGTGTCTTCCTGTAGGAGTGGTGCTTGTGAGAGGACATTGTGTAGCTCAAGGTGGGTAAGGGCAATTTGTGATCTGCTGGGAAAACATAAAGAGCTTATCTCTTGTGACCACTGTTAGTTTGCAGGACTGGCAGCTAGGAAACATGTTTCTTTGGAAAATAAACTGGAAGTAGAGGGTAGTTGCTGAGAGAGGTAGGAAAAATTAAGTATTCTTAGGGCATACCTGACAGAATCACTCCTGAAAATTAACTGTGCCTTTCAAGAGCATTGTTACTTGTTAATGCAGATTTTTGGAAAAGAAGATAGAGGGCCAGGACTAAATACGATCTTTATTCTTCCCTGCCCCCATTCAGTGAGGTCAGTAGCTATCTGTCAGTGCTAGGGGTGGCCAACCTGCCCGCACAGACGTGTTCATCTCTGCCTTCTGCACTGCCTACGTGTTCCCTTACAGGCATCCTCACTCCTGCACATCACAAGATGACAAGATGCTTTTTTAAAAGAAAAACCTTTCTCCTTTTTTTTTTTTTTTTTAAAGTTCTATTTTCATGGAGTCAGAAGAACCACAGCTCAGAAACACTGCCTTATTGCAGATAAAAACTCAAATGTTCTGTAGCCTGGCTAGCGGTCTCCCTCTCACCCACGTGTAAGTGGTAACAACTCGGTGTACGTAAAGAGGTAATTATGCTCTTCCTGTCCTACACTGAGTGCTGCTCCTTTCCTGCTTCCAGACGTCATTACCGCACAGGTAATTACTGCTGTAGTACAGTGTTGTGGGGTGCTTGCTGCATTCAGAGTTTGTTATGTCTTTTTGGAGCTTAGCGGCAGGAATAGGGATAGAGAGGGTGTCTTTCTTCCAACTGCAGTTACAGTAATTACTAGACCTGCCCTCCCTAGCCATGCATCCAAATACTCTTTGTCCCATAAGACAAGTAACCTCAGAAATTAGTAATTAAGTTTTATTATTAACATCATCATTATTGTCATGATTATTATCATTTATAGCCCACTCTGAGGGGGCCAAAGCACCTGCTGCTTCATTAGGGGTTTCAGGACTGCTCAAGACTGAGGTTCCCTACCGCTGGTAAAGCCTGCGTCTTCAGGCAATTACATACGGGAGCCTGGGATGTGACTGCAAAGATGAGAAGTGTAAGGCCCTAACTATAAGAAAAAGGGTTTAACTTACCTTTTCCTCCAGAAGAGAAAGGAGCTATCTGCCTTTTAGCAGCCGTGAACTAACCCTCAGACTGGCTTTTAGGCCAGACATGTAGCAGCTCCAGTGCTCCAAGAGTTACCAGCACCAGCGGTAAGGCATATGGCCCCAGTGTACACACAGTGAAAGAACGGAGACTTCTTGGGTAAAGCGACCACTTGCAAGGAGCTCAGGAAGCTAGGTACCATTTGTAAATTAAGTGTTTTTCTTTTTTATTTAAATTGATTGCTGGAAAGCATTTTTATCGTGATGTGATGGATAATGACTTTTTTTTTTTTACAATATAAAGAAGCTAATGTACCACCAAGCTATTTTGTAAGAAAAACGGTAGCACGTGCAACGTTTAAACAAAAAAAAAGGGGGGTGGGGGGAGAGAGAGAGAAAAAAGTACCACATGTGATTGTTGTTCACAACTGTACAAGTCACAGGAGGTCGCCCCCAGGAGTTACCATCTCATTCACAGTAGTAAAAACTCTACCCATTGTTTTTAGCCTGAATCCCCCAGCATCCCTCCCCCTCCTCTGGGAACGCACAGGTATCCGTCTCATGGTCCACAGCAGGCCAGAATGTGCAACTACATCCACCTCTGTAACAAGGCTTTAAAAAGAAGAAAACCAACCCTACGGAGAAAAAAACCCACCCCAAATGTATAAATGAGTCTGTTGTACACGTGAAGGAGGGAGGGGGCCACATTGGAGTGAGGCCTGTGACCCTCCATCCCACCAAAGCACATACTCTTTTCTTCTTCTCTTTAAAACAAAACATCTAATTAAAAAAAAAAACAAACCAAAAACCTCTGCAGGGCTGGAGCACAGGCAGAGTCCACTCTCTGTGTGTGCTGAAAGGGACAACGTGCCAGGGAAAAGCGCAGCCCCTGGGACAGCACCGAGCCACCTGTGCCGTACCATCCACACTGAAGTAAACATGGACCGGAACTTGCCTTTTTTTTTTTTTTTTTCCTTTTTTTTTTCTTTTTGTCTGTCTTTGGTATTGTTTTAAAAGTTGCTAGAGATGCATAGACACCTGAATGAGGAACTGAGTACAGTTTCCAGGGAGGAGGAGATATTTGGGAAGGTGGTTGTTTCATTTTTGATGGGTTTTTTTGCTCAGGGGTGTTGAGTACCATTGGGAGGAGCAGGCCTGTTTCCCTTCCCTGCGTGGAGTCACACTCGAAGTTCCTGAAAGCCATGTTTCTTTGTTGGCAAAGAACAGCGTTCGTTCCCTGTCCACGGCTCTCCATCTCAGACTGGTGAGCGAGAAGGGGTGTGAAAGGGAATGGGAATGCTGCTGACATCCTCCAGAATCATTTTCTTTCTCTTCACTTGTGTTGTCTCAGTACATCTTTGGATGGTTTTCTTTCCTTCCCTTTTTACAGTTTTTAAAACTTCTGTGGGTTTGTTTGTTTTTTTTTTTAAACGAAAAGCAAATGCATCCAAAAAAATTAAAAACCTCCCTTCCTCACTCCTATGTCTCACACTGCTGAGGGAGGCTCTCCTCGTCTCTCAAAATGCATTACCTTCAGTTTCTTCAACTGATTCTCAGTTCCAGAAGCAGTCAAGAGCTGTCCTGCAGTTAAGATGGAGGTTTTGTGGTGTCATTGATCCCAGCAATGATGGAGGGGTTTCCGTTTTCCTGCTTTGGTGAGACGCGGCTGGCGGAGGGCAGGCCACTGCTGAAAGGGGAGGCCACGCTGCCTGTGGAGGACGGCCGGAGATCAGCCGGGGGCAGGTCCCGCTCTGGTGGCCGTAAACCAGGAGGTTGCAGTGGGAAAGCCATGGGGAAGCCTGCCATGTACAGAACTCTGCCCACTCTCTTGGCGACCTATTTAAAAAAAAAAAAAGGAGGAAATAAATGCAGGGGGGCAAAAACAGATGAGAATGTGCACAAACTCTTTTCAGAAATCATAGAAGCTGCATTTTCATGCAGCAAGCCCAGGTTCTGTACTCCAAAGTGAACTGCAGATAGAAAAGCTACCATTCCCAATCCACCAAAAAAGAAAACCCCACACCCTTGGTGACCTACCAGAGCAGACTAGGGAAGGTTTCCTCCTCTCTCCTTTTTTGTAAAGACCTCTCTGTCCTGCAGTAGTGCTCCCTAGCTCTGTTATACTGGGCACTTTGGTGCATGGCATGGCACCAAAGTACAGCTGGAGCTGCCAGGTCTACCCTAGATCACGTCTCACAGGTTAAAGATGTGCAGGCCCTTTTCCTGGGATGTGTTTTGCGTATGTCTGTCGTCTTTGGCCAGAACGAGACCGAAGGCCTTGCTGAGGTGCGGGCTGAAAGGAAGCGTGCAGCCCAAAGCTGAACCAAGTCCAGCCTCTGAATTAATCCGGTCTCACTGTCTCATCAGGGGACTATGGAACCTTGCAGCCTGTTTACCTGGCTAGATAAGGCTGCATGGACAACTATGAGAGTGTTCATCATCTTTTACAGACCCCAGCTCATCCCCTTCATGAGTGAAAGGGTGGTGGTAAGCAGCGGTGCCTCGGTCATCTCTGCTACATGAGGCCTTGGGAAGATGGCTGGCTGCAGCTGCCTTCAGGTGAAGGGGTATCGGGTGAAGAGGGCTGACCCATTCCTGCCACTTCGGTTATTTCATTAACAGGCGCTACTGGATGGACAGTTTGGTAGAACTCTTCTGCTCTTCTTTTGCTAACCCAGCCCAGGGTACAAGACACTGCACAATGTCCACTTCTGAAGAGCAAGAATTGCTCGTGACGGGGCCGAGGGGGGCTGGGACAACAGCATGAGGGAGGAAAAAAAAATCTGGCTACAGGGTGGCTGCTGTTAACTGCACAGGAAACTATAAGCCTGCAGCCTCTCCCTTCTTCTGCAGTACCGAAGAAAACTCTCCTGAAGCAGTTCTCGCCTCCCAGCAAGGGCCAAAGGCCCCACAACTTTCCAGCACCTACACAGCTGTTTCACATTTAAGCTTAAACAAAAACACAGGCTTGTGTTCAAACCAGACAACTGCGGCATTATTCAGTTAGCAACATCAGGACTTTGCTCCCCACTTACTCCCCCCCCAAACCATGCCTTATTATAGAACTTTAAACACTATTGATTAAATCGAAGCAGGGTTTTTCTCGTTTCAGCCCATATCTCATATTCCCCCCAGCAAATCCGATCTAAGAATGTCTGTGAGCTATTTGGCGTTCTCTGTTTTTAAGAAACATAAGAGTTTTATTTCCTACTGAATTGACCCACAGGGAACAATTGCCCACAGAACCT